GATGCCATTCTGTCCTCATAGCCAAGTCGGTTCCTGTGTTACTGTCTCACATAGTGCTACAGAGCACAGCAGTAGCTAGAAAATAACATGTCTCATAAGAAGAAGAATTAGGCTTAACACTTAGATTGTTTCACTCCAGAAAAATTGCTACCAACTTCTCTGTTTTGTGTTTTAAGGCCAAACACAGACAAGTACGGGAAATATTTGAAAAAATTAAATGAAATAAGAGTAATATAAAAGGAGATGAAATTTTTATTGTGAATGAGATATGACTTTGATCAAGAAAATATGGGGAAGATAGTTGATATTTAAAATTTAATTCAAATATTATGAAGATCTGATATTGAAATGATACTATCTAGTATTCAAACACTAAGTGTTAAATATGTTTTCAAATGACAGTAGGAAGCACTAGTTTGGTTATTTCGTCTATTTTATTTATTTTTTTTACTATAATTTTCAGTCGACACACAATAGTAGCCAAGATTTGGAATCTACCTAAGTGTTCATTAGCTAATGAGCAGATAATGAAACTGTGGTAAATAGAACACAGAATTTTACAGAAAAGAGTATTATTTAGATGCAAAAAAGGATCAAGTTTCATCATTGGAGGCAAGATGGAAGGGCTGGGAAGAAAAACTATGCCAAGAGGAATAAGCCAGGCGCTGGAAGTTAAGTGGCACTTTCATCTTTTTTCATTGTTTAAGAAATGGTTTTTTTTATTTATTTCTTCAATTTTATTTATTCATTAATTTATCTTAATTTGACCAGAAGGAGACAGGGCGAGAGAGAGGGGGAAAGTGAGAAAGAAGCCACCAGGTCCAACTGGAACCTCGGCAGGCCATTTGAGTGTCCAGCACGGGAACCAGAGCGCCACCTAGTGGATGTTCTGACAGAAAGGCTTCTTGGGTTTAATCTACAAGACATCAGATCTTATTTGGCTAAGGATCGCCCCAACAACCGTATGTGAAATACAAGCTGTACCTTCGTGGCTAAAGAAAAGAAAACTTCGATTTTCCATAGCACAATTGTTAATTAATGGTGTAAATAATGCAATTCATCAATGCCATTTATCTGTCATTGATCGGGTCCTGCAGAGGTGTGCATAGGGAAAAGATCCCAATCCCAGGATAGGAAGCCACATTTCACAAAATGCTAAGTTCACAAGGAGGTAGGAAAGGGCTCCTCTTTTCCACGTCTCTAAGAACAGCAGGGAGAAGCCGAGGTTCCGGGCCTCCCTTCACTGGGACACCCTGTGGCTTCCCCAGGACCTGGGGGCTCTGTCCTCATTGCCGGTTCTCAGAGGCAGACCCGATAGGGACAGAGCAGGTGTGTCCCCCTCCCATGGGTGTGCACAGGGCAGGCCAGGGTCTTGGGCTCTGTAGATGAGATCAGGCTCGCCTGGATTTTGCTCTGGACCTCATAAAGCCACAGGACCTGAGAAGAGGACCTGCCCAGAGCAGCCTTTTTTCTCGGGTCTCAGCCCAGTCCTCTCCTGGCCGTCCTTTCCTCGACTTCTCGGCCTAAATCTGTGGTTTCTCTTTAACTGTTATGTTTAATCTGACATAAGCTTTCCGCTGATAAAAATTCTGAGGCAAGAAAACTCACAGACATTTATTTAGAATCATGGTACTACACATGGCTCAGGCTTACCCTGGAACTTTCTGTCTGTGCCTTGTCCTTTCCAATACCTTCTTCAAGTCTCTCGGTAGCAGCAGAAGCCTCACTGAGCGGCTCTGAGGGTTCGACATGGAACGAAACTGTTCCTCAGCCTGGGATAGTCCGGCTGTCAGTACAAGGTGACAATAATTACGATTTAGAATTCCAAACATAGTGTCTGGAATATTTGTATGTTTTAGTACGTAGATTTTTATCATTAAACATGAGAAATGTTTTATCATTTAATGGAAGAAAACATTTCCAAAAATGAATTTGAAATGATCAAATAAAATAACAAAAGAATACAAAGATTTGATTAGGACGATAAAAGGTAATTCAACTATTCATTCTAATTTCAATGAAGGTGCTTTATTTAAAAATATTTAAAGGTAACAATTGTAACAATTCCTATGTATTATAGTACACTACAATGATGTAAAAGTGTATACAGAACATATTCTTACCAGTCAGAGTTAATAAAGCAACATGTATGGGAGCGTGGGGAAGTCACCGGAGGGACCTAACAGCTTTGTCCCGTGCCGAAGCACACTTCATGTGGTCATGGATAGGCCTGGGGCACACACCAAAAACACGGGTGTCGTGTCTCAAACCTGAACACTCATGGTTGCTATCGTTTATTCAGTCAACATCTCTTTACATGTACTTTCACATTTAACACAGAAGAATTCTTTATTTAATTCGTTATTATTATTTCAATTTGACCAGATAGAGAGAGAGAAAGAGAAAGTGAGAAAACAAGCCGTCAGGTGTGGGACTTGAACCGTGGACAACCATGTGCGAGTCCACTGCCTATTCTTTCACTCTCCTGAATGTCTTCCCCCGTATGAACCATATTTCTCCTCATAAAGAACTCTATTCCATGCAAGTGTTGCATTGTCTTCAAAAGCAAGCAGTTTTTGAGGAATGTGAAGGGACAGGGAAGAGAAGAGAGGAAATGAATTCTGAGAAAACTCAGCGACATGCAGACTAAGGGTGAGGGACAAAGTGTACCCCTGTGGGCAGGTGGTTCTGGGAGGGGCTACAGCTCTGCACACAGAGGGACATCCTGCTATTGAGGTGTGACAATGGAGGCTCTGCTGGGATTAGCTGAGTAATTCTGGTCAAAGGTCCTGAGGGAGGGAGTAGCCATGGAGGCTCCCAGTCTCACAGCACAGGGAAGGCAGGGAAGAGGACGTCCCTAGGGAGACTTTGGGTCTTCCACTCTGGGCTAAGAGCATCTGCAGCAGCCCAGGCTGGTGTGTAAACGCCGCAGTGTAACAACGAGCCAGGTGGGGAAGGAGGGTGGGTCAATGCCTTCTGCAGATGGAGGCCCTGCCCTGGGTAGCTCCTTTAACGAAGCTCCTTTACCGGGGGCTCATGACGTGTGTGGGGACCAGCCTCTGCCCGGGCAAGTTCTGGCCCTGAAGCCCAGGTCCTGGGATCCCTCAGATCCAGCACCTGGGACAGCTGGGCCCACACGAAGCTGCTCCCGGCCATGCAGATCCCAAAGCGCTGTGTCTTGAAACCGGAGAGAGAGAATCTTCAGATTCACTTAGAAGCCCCTGCTCTCTGGTCTGCCACACGTGCTTTTTAAATGTAGTGAGAACCTTGAACAGCTGAAACCCTTACATGGACTGTCTCCCAGAGCACCCGGATACAGTGAGACATTTTCACAGCTCATTTTTAAACCAATCTGCTAATTAAAACTTTATGCTTATAAAACAGACATTCTAAAGCAATCTCCCAAAACCTACTGAACATCCGTGTCGCACTGGTGACGGCATATCCAGATGAGCGCAGTGACCCTGTCAGGACTGCAGTCTGAATGTGTCTGACATGGAAGAAGACATCTGAGGACCCTGGCTGGCAATGCATTCTGGGGTGTCAGGACAGCCCTGATGTGCCGGAGCAGGACCCTCCAGAAACGCTGTGGGAAGGCGGGCTCACCCAGCGTGCCTGGGGACGGGGACAGGGACACAGGGATGGGGTGCCTGCCGTGGGCTGAGGCCCTGTCAGTGCCAAGTCTCTCTCACTATCTCTCCCAATAAATAATGAAAACAAAGATTTTAAGGAAAAACATGCATCATCAAATAAACTTCTCCTGTTTTTTTTTTTTTTTTTTTCTTTTTCTTTTTCTGGTTGCTATAGGGTGCATGTGCTCGCCAGAAAGACAGAGAGAGACAGACAGCAAGAAATCACCCAGCAGGGGAGATGGCCACGCCACAATCCCTTCTCCTCCATTCTCCTCTCAGGATCTTGGGCACGCATGCACACGCTCTCGGTGTGAGTTTAAGCCACCGGGTCCAGGACTTGAACTGCGGTTGACTACATGGGAGTCCAGCGACATAGCCATTATACTAACTGCTGGTCCCACCTTCTCCTGTTTTTAATTAAACTATAACCCATGGGTGGGCTTTTTCTCGGGCTGTGGTTATAGAAGAATTAAATATGTTTCTTGGTTCAAACACCCGACTCAGGCCCCGATTTCACAAAAATACAGACAGTAGACAGCTCTGTCCACAGATACTCACTTTGGTTCTTGGCAGAGCAGTGTCATGTTCAAACGCCAGCTGAATTTAAATCATGGGGGGAAACAGGATCAAGACAGAAGCCCTCGTCAGCTGCCATGGAAAGACCTTTTTCATGCTTATTTAAGTACTGGTCCCTTCACATTTAAGGTCAGTCAGAAACACGGTTTCTGGGTTGAGGGCCCCAGGGGACAGCATCTTGGACCTGTTTGCTAGTAGCTGCGTTGGAGGGGTCTCAGAGGAGCAATTAAACACCCTGTGGTGACATATTTCTTAATAAGATGGGGGCCTTGGCCTGTGTCCTCAGTTCCCTCCATGAACCAAAGTATTATTTTATTCCTTTATTTTTTCATCACAGAGAGAGAGAGAGAAAGCACCCCACCCCACTTGGGGCGTGGTCTCAGAATCCCTTTCCCTCTGTTTCTGCTTCCCAAAGAGATCTGGACGCACCGACACACCAGGCTCCGCCGTGTTCTTCGAGGCCCTGGGCCGGGACTCAGTGCTCAGCCCTGAGTGGCTGCACCCCTGGGCCTGGTTCTGTTTCAGAGTGTTTGTTGCTGAGCTGGTGGACAGGACTGGCCTTGCTTTAGTAACATTCGTTCTCTTTCTTTCTTTTGTTTTCTTATGTTTTTATGTTTAATCACTGTAGATCTTTACAGTGTGCAAAATGAATTTTCCCAGCATGAGTACAGCATCTGACATATCTGTCCAGTCGTGAATATTACCATCCCCTTATCAACAGATTATTTTCCATTTTTGTAACATATTTCTTTTTCTTTCTTATTTTTCTTTTATTTTATGTAGATTTTTGCTATCAGGCATGTGTGCTTTCCAGAGAGACAGAAAGTGAGAAACCACTCCCAGGGTATGGCCACATTGCTATCCTTTCTGCTCCATCCTTCTCCAGGGCTTTTGAGCATCACACTGGGTCCAGGATTTGAACCATGGTGGACGACATGAAAGTTCAGCAACCTAACCATTACCCCACCTGTTGGTCCCCATTTTTGTAACATATTTCTAATCAGTAACAAAGTCTACTCCTTAGTGGTAAAATTGTCAATATGTCACTTCGAATAAATACATCAAAATAATACAGATCAGTTCAAAGTATAACAGCTTGAGAATGAGAAATAGTTGGCATTTGTTTCATCCCCAGGTCCTGTCTCTAGGCTGTTTCAGTTCCTCCCTCTCCCTGTCCTTCAGGGACGATGCTTTGTGATGGCATGGCTGCCAGCTGGGCAGCCTGCACTATTTTACACTGAGCAGCACATTCGTGCCTGAGAATGGGATGCATGTGTTGGCCTGGTCTTCTCCAGTGGTCATCTCACCACCTTGTCGGAGATGTTGTAACTGCAGAACGTGGCCTGCTCTCTGATTTCGTATTATCTTTATGACGTAATTGAGTTGTGTGTGTCTCTCAAACTCCACCAGAAGTAACTTCCGTTGGCATTCAGTCACTGTCCCTGCCCACGTGCCCTCACGTCTCCTGTTCGCTGTCTTTGCCTTCTCCTGCATATCTTTTCCCT